CTTCCCAGATGTTGGTAAGCGTATAGGTGGCAGGGAAAGAGGGTCACACTAGCTCCATGTCCCTTAAACCCAAACTGAGTCAGTGTCCCCAGAAGTCCTCAGTGACCCCAATGTAGGGAGGCTGTCCAGCAGTGCACATTCCCCACCCCAGCTTGAGAGAAATGCAGACTTCCAAGTGCCACTCAGGCTCCAAAAGGGGCGACACTTATGTGCCTGCCTGAAACCAGTCTGAGCCAGACTCTCAGCCTGTGCCCCACTGAACGATTCATGGCCTCTGCTGTGGTCACTGTCACTCTTGTTGACTGCCTCACACCCTACTCGCAGACCTTGTCCTGGGCTTCTTTCCTTTGCTGTCCGTGGTGGAGAAATTCTCGAGATACTCTGGGACAGTCTTCTGCCACCTGGGAGGAGCCATGACCTGTGCCCTTAGCTAGCAACTGAGTGGGCTGGGTGGCCATGATTCCCAGGAACACCTCCCTGAGGCAAATGCGCTCCTCATCCCTGGCTCAGTGAGGAGACCAAGGCACAGAGCCATCTGGGACCATACCTCTGGCCCCACACAGAGCCACAGTTTAGTCCCAGGTCCTCTGGCCACGGCCCACAGAAGTAGAAGACAGGACAAAGGCCACCCGGCAGCACCCTGGGGCTGGTTTCCTTTGGGGTGCAGAGGTCTCTGAGCTCTGTGACGTGACCACCACTTGTGACTGCACCGGAAGGTCCAGTCTGGAGACTGCAGCACCGTCCTCCACCGTGCCCTTCTGCCTACCCCTGCCACTTTTTCTGTGTTCTTCCTCAGAACCCCTGGGGTAAGGGAGGAAGGGACAATAGATATCTTGGGACAGCTGGGTGCGGTGGTGCACACTTGTTACCCCGACTGAGGCTGAGGCAGGACGATCACTGTAAATTCCAGGCCAGCCTGGACTATACGGTGAATTCAAGGCCACCCTGAGCTACCTAGTGTGATCCTGTCTCAAGAAAATGAAGTAAAAAATAAAACCTCGGGACAGTGGCCAAAGTACAGTGGCCTGTGCGGGAGATGGCAGTGAGGATTCAGTGACACCCTCCATCTATCTCTGCTGCACCTGCACCCCTGCCCTGGTAGAAGGGCTGCATGTCCCCTGCTGGATCCACAGCACTGGGAGGTGGCTGCTCCCACAGGGATTCAGCAAGCGTATGAGTCGCCTCTCCTAAGGCCCCTGGTCCCGGGATTTCCTCACTGAGCATCTCCCTGGGCCCAGGGACAACGGGTTGGCAGGAGAGGGACAAAGCCAGTGACATGGACAAGAGGGGTGGGGTGGCAGGCAAGGAGCCCCAGCAAAGGTTCTGGAAGGAGTTTGGTAGCCTGCTGCCTTCCCACTTTCTTTTCACAAGTCCTCTTTCAGGGTGGCTCTGGATTTTCCTGTCACCCACCATGTACGCCGCTGCCCAGGAAGTGTGCTCGGGCTCAGCTGCAGCGACATAAGCAGGCCTGGAGCTCTAACGGGCCATGTTGTTTGCCAGGCAGGCATTGTATCACCCAGCTACATCCCTGGCCTCAGGTCATGCTAAGGGTCTGTGGCAGACCACATCAGTAGAATGAAGGGACAAAACCACGCCACCATCGCAATCGCCACAAAAAGCCATTCAGAAAATCCAACAAACCCCTTGCATGATTAAAATACTCAACAAGCCCCAGGGCTGAGGGTGGAGGCCAAGGCTTGCCTCCTACTTAGCAGCAGGGCCCAGCACCCCGCAGCGAGCCTGTCCACGGCACCCTATGCCTGCAGAACACAGGAGTCTTGCGGGGGCCGGGAAGCAGCCCCGGTGGGCAAGCCTCAGGTACCACGCGTGCCAGGGCCACGGGAACCAACCATGGCTAAGCATCTGCCTTCCCGACAGCCAAAGCTGGAGAGAGGGAGCGGCTGCGTGAAAGTGGGCACCGGCAGAACCCGATTCTCAGAGAAGTCTAACAAAAGAAGTTCGAGACAGGCTGGACTCCCAGCACTGTGTTCACCCCATAAACTCAGCACAGTCTCTGTCATCATGAATCTGGCTCATCTTCAGGAATTCACAAGCCACTCCCCAATTCACAAGGACCCAGGGAGGCGAAACAGCCCGAAGCTGCAGGACTCCTCTGGCTCCCTGATTTGTGACCTAGACGGCAGTTACACAAATGGCCACCAAGCCACCAGGGCAGAGAAGACGCTGCCACAATGAGGACAAAGAGAAACCCAGCGGAGAGGAAGAAAAGTCCCAGTGAGATGCCACTCCAGCTCCCAGGTGGCTGACCCTAAGAGATGAGCAGGAAACGCCGGCGTCCAGCCCGTGTCACTGAGTGTGTGGAGAAACCAGAAGCCTTGTGCCTCACTGCACCTTGCCCCTGGGGTGTGAAGTGCTCCCCCACTTCCAGTGTTAGTTAGCTCCGTGCCCAGCTCTTCAGTTCCCTGCCTACCAACAGCCACAGCAGCCCTCGGCGCCACCAAGACATGGGGAGATATGGCGCCGCGGACTCGCCTTGAGCACATCCACAGGAAAGGCTCTGGGCTCGGACACGCCTGGTACAGTCAAAGCCATGGAGACAGAAAGTACATTCGTGGTTGCCAGAGACTGGGAGGTCCGGGGGAGAAAGGGGGCTCAGTGGGTCAGGGGTTCTGTCAAAGGTGATGCAGATGTGGTGGAATTAGCAGTGATGGTCCCAGGACTGCATGATGTACTTGAAAGCTCAGGCCAGTACAGTTTCCGAGGAGGATCCGCCGTAAGGGATGTGATTTACACATCAATAAACTGTGCTTTATTGCGGTTGTATTTCCAGGCAGGGTCCTGGCCGGCCTTGAACTTGTGGTATTCCTCCGGCCTCACCTCCCTGAGCACGGGATGACAGGTGTGTGCCACCACACCTGGCAAAACTGGCTTGTGTGAGGCCCTGGGTTCTGGCTCGGGGCAAAGAAATGAAAATAAAAAAATACGATAAAAGCCCCAGGTCACAGGAGTGTGTGTGCATTTTCTGAAAAATCAGTTCCTAGGTTGTACTGGGACAAGTTCAGAAGCCAGGAGTGTACAAGGGTGAGGGCCCTAGGGCGGGACAGGGAGAGCACTGTGCAGGGCCCCCTAGGAGGCCAGCAGGTGGTCCCTTTGGCTGTGGCAGAGGCCAGTGCAGCCTGGCATCCCTCTCGGAGGCCTGGGCCTGGGGCTGCGGCTTCCTGTGCCGCATTGTTTCTGTTCCATCTTTGTTTCCCTGTATTTTGAAGGCCAGGTTGACGAAAACCATCCAAGCTCCACTTGTGCCTGAGGCCAAGGAAGACAGCAAAGGTTCAAGGTTCCTGGATGACTCTTTGGGCTTTAAAGGGAGTGACCTCCCCAGAGAACCCAACAGTGTTGCTGCAACCGCCAAGGTGAGTACAGGGGTGGCCGGCATGTGGTGGCGCTCCTCTTTGTGGATCACCAAGGCCATTCCATGGGACAGGGCTGGAGCTCAAGTTTAAGGATGGAGGCACACAGGGACCCTCCCCCTCCAGGGCCATTCTGCCCTCTTGTCCCCTCCCCACTGAGCCTGTTATGGTCTTCTAGGGCTACTGTCCCCTCCCAGGCCTGGGGCATAGCTTGGTTGTCCTCCCCTTTCCACTGTCTCCTGAGGCCTGCCCTCCAGGAAGCATGACCTGGGGCTCTCTCCAAGAAAGCCAAGGCTGAACTCAGAACATCTTGCTCTTTGGTGGGTGATTCCAGAAAGGAACCCCAAGGTTGAGGATGAGTCCAAGGTCCCTGTCATCCAAGCAGCCCAGCCCCTGACGCTGGCGGCCAGGATCCCATGATTCCAACCAGGGCCACTCCAGAGAGAGAACCGGCAGTGGCCAGCAAGGTTTCCAACAGCAGGAACAGAAGTGGCAGCTGGGAGGTGAGCACTGCAGGGAACAGTGGCCACGGGCAGGAGAGGAGAAGCCATGGTCCCTGTGTTCTCTAGGAAGGGCCAATGACAGGGACTAGAAGTGCCACCAGGATGGAGCCAGACTTGCAAGCTACCCACACCCTCACGGGGGGGGGGGGGGGGGGGCTAAATTCCCAGCACAATGCTGGCTCCTTGTGGCTGCCCCACACCCACAGGGGGTCCCCCTATTCACTGGAAGCCTTCTCCCCACCCCACCCCTCCCCCACCCGAGCCCGCATACCTGTCTGCACCTCAGTTCCTGGTCCGGGCTTCTCTGACCTTGACCTCCCTGTACTTAGCCACACAGAGCTAGACACATTTCTCTAGACGCCTCGCGGGTGCACACACAAAGTACACACATGCGGGGCTAAGAAGCCGCCGCGTACACACAGACAGGGCACAGGCACGCACTCACGTAGGCACGCCACGCACACGCAAGGCTGCGAGGCTGGGGTCCCGAGCAAGTACAAAGCCTGGAGTGTTTCGGGTCCCCAGGGCTCCCTGCCTGGTGCCTGACCCCTGGCAGAGCATAGGCACGAACTCCTGACCTCAGCCGCTCTCCCAAAACACCCAAAGCCCCGAGCCCAGGTCCGAGCAGAGTCAGACCCGAGATGGGGTGCAGGAGTGACTATCCTTTCCCAGGACGACATCCACAGTACCGTGGGGTTCTGCACCCCACGCCCGTGGGCAGCTGGCTGCTCCCCCTCTCCGGGTCCAGCAGGGAGAGCGTTCCCTGGGCCCAGTCGGTTGCTATGCAACCTGCATCCCGCGCCCGCGGCCACGCCGCACCCACGACTCCCTTCGAAAACCAGCACACCCTTCCCAAGTCACAGTCCCGGGACAGAAACGCCCCCACCCGGGCCAAGCCCAACTTCCCATCAGGGTCCTGTGGCCCAAAGGCTCGAGTCTCCGGAGTCGCAGGCCCGGGGTCCCCGCCCCGCCCCCGTTCGGGGCTGCTTCCCACGGAGCCTACCGCGCCCCGAGCCCGAGTGGGGGCTCCCTACCTGTTCCTCCTCGAGCCCCGCCGCCCTCCCGCGCCTTCCCGCCCACGCCACCTGCCACCCGCTCCCGCTCCCGCCGCGCGGCCCTGGCGCCCCACCTGCAGCATCACTTTGTATTGCTCCTCCGGTTTCTGAACCACGCACATATTGCATCCCATGGTGCTGGCCGACGGGGAGGCGGGGGCGGGAACGGCGCGTCGGTCAGTGGTCCGCGCGCGGGACCTCGGGCCCCGGGCCGGGGCGGGGGGCCATAGCGTGCGCGGGCGGGCGCCCAGCGGGAGAGGGGGGCGCGCCCCTGGGCTTGGCTGCGGGCTGGCGGCGGGCGAGCGCGGGCATGCTCCCGCGCACGGCGGGGAGAAAGGGCAGCGGGGGAGGGGCGTGCGCGCCGGGCGTTGCCTGGCTACGACCCCCTGGGGCGCGGGGCACCGAGGGCGTCAGGGGCCGGGGGCGGCGGGGCTCCCAGCCCGCGGGGCCCGCCGCTGCCGCTGCCGCTGCCGCTGCCGCCTCCGACTCCCACCCATGGCCCCGGCCCGGAGCCCGGCCTTGGAGCCCCGCGCCGCGGCCGCCCGCCTATCGCAGGGTGGCGGCCCCGGCGGCCCCGCAGCGCCGCTCTCCGCCTCGCCCGGCCGCGCTCTTGGGCTCTCCGGCTCCCGCCCGGGACGACGGGCACGCGCGCGCCCGCACCGGCGGCAGGAGGGGAGGCGCGCAGGGCCGGGGCGCGCGCACGGGGGAGGGGGCGGCCCGGGGCGGCGGGAGCTGGAGAGCGCGGGAGGCGGGAGCCGGGAGGCGGGAGGCGGGAGCCGGGGGCAGGGCCGGGCGAGGCGCGGTGTGCAGGCGGCTCCCGGGTTCCCGAGTTGGCGGCGCGGCAGACCTGTCGCCTGTCCGCTCCAGGAGACCGGGGACGTTCGACGAAGGGCCATCCCTGGTCCCTAGAGAATTCTTGGGCTAGATCTCGTCCCTTCTCCCGGGTCCGCGCGCAACCCCCCAACGCCTCTCCTCCCCGCTGCGCTCTGACGGCCGCTTCCCGCCTCCGCTTGGCCGCTCCCGGCAGCGGCAGCGCTGGCAGAGGACACCTTTGTTCCGAGAAATGGAAAGGCGAAGCGCGGGGTGCGAGGGGTGGGGGGTGGGAGTCGTGCCGATGCCCTGGCTAACTTGGGGCCTCGTGCGCCCCACCAGCTTGAGCAGTCCCCGCGCCTGTCCCCTCTCCAGGACCAGCATGGAGGGGCAGGACCTCTTCGTGGAAAGCTCCTGGCTACGAGGAGGCTGGGATTAAGCACCGGCGGGGATGCGAGCTTAACCACGGCGGCGGCGCGGGAGGCTCCTCCGGGGCTGCCTTTGCCCCCCAACCACCGCGTCGCTGCGTTAGGGGACAGAGTGAGGGACAGGGGCCTGCGGTCTGTAGAGAGATCCCAGGAAGCAGGACTTGCACAGGGCTGGGGTGCAGGGGGCAACCAGTCGCCAAAGGGCTAGCTAGCCTCCGGAGCCCTGTTTCTGAGGACTTGAGTCTCTCCGCTGGCGGCTGGCACCTGGAACAGCTGAGGGTAGACAAGGTCCCTGCTTTTGGGTCCTGGGGAGCCTCCAACCCTTTGGCTAGGGCCACAGCCTCAGTACTCCATGGCTGGCTGAGCTCCAAGGTGCCCTGGATGCACCCCTTGGCTCGCCCCACCTTCCAATCCTAATCCCCTGGGCTTTGAACAAGCAGCCAAGCCATTACCTAGGAGCCTAGGAGCCTTTTTACTTTTTTTTTTTTTTTTGGCCATGAACCCAGGGCCTTCACGCTATTAGACCTTTTTGACCTTTTATTTTGACATGGGACCTTGCTAAGACCCTAAATTGTGCAAGCAGGGCTTGAATTTGTGATCTTCCTGCCTTTGCCTCAAAGAGCCCTAGGATCACAGGCACACGCTACTATGCCTGGCCCATGGGCACATTTAGCCCATCACCATTTCTCCCTCTGAGAAGTAGACACCCTTCAGTGGTCACAGCAGCCCCTGCTGGAGAGGCCTGGGTGTTGCCAGGGGGAGGAACACTGCTGCAGGGGAGGGGGCAGTCCCAGGCCTTCCAGCTGCCCTGGCCTGCACATCTGAACCTTGGCGTTGCTGGGTGCCTGCCTGGCCTCTGACGACCTCCGCCTGGACAGGTGCCCATGGTCACAGAGGCATGTGGCATCCCAGCTAGGCTCTCAGCGTCCTCCACCCAGGAGGGCTTCATGCTGCCACCTGTGTTTGGGAACTCAAATGTGAGGCCGCTGAGCAGGACTTTGGTAAAGGTCACCTTACCTGTGCTGGCCCAAAGTGTCCCTGTGAATCAACACTCTGGCAAGCACTCTGCCACCCAGCCACATCCCCAACCTGAGTTAACGCCTTGTAAATCACTTTAACCCTTCCCCACTTCAAAGTCAAAAAGACATTCCTCTACCTTCTCATTTTAAGAAGTTTTTGGTTTTGATTTTTTTTTTTTAAACAGTCTCACTGTGTAGTCCAGGCTGGCCTTGAACACACCATGTAGTCTGGGCTGGCCTCAGACTCACAGGCGTCCTGCTGCCTCAGCCTCCCCTCCCGAGTACTGACATGACAGGCACACACCACCATGCCTGGCTTCATGCAATTATGTGGATCGTCTCTGTGGTCTTCTGTGTATCTCTGTCCCCTGTCACATGCTGCTTCTGTGCACCACCATTCCCAGCTCCTTAGCAAGCACAAATTGTGAGTTCAGGACCAGCCTGAACTAGATAGTGAGACCCTGTCTCAAAAAAGATAAGAGCCAGATGTGGTGACACATGTCTGTCATCCCAGTACTCGGGAGGCTGAGGCAGGGAGACTACCATGAATTTGAGGCCAGCCTGGGTTACACAGTGAGTTCAAGGCCACCTGAACTACATAATGAGACTCTGTCTCCAAAAAAAAGTGTTTATGTCAAGTATGCAGTATGTACAGATAATCTCAGCCACCCAGGAGGCTGAGTCAGGAGGATCAAGAATTCAAGGCCATGCTGGACATCTTTCATTTGACACACCTCTGAGTAGTTTAAATTTTTGTTGCTGTTATAAATGAGGTACTTTAACAAATGTACATTTTCAAAATATTTTTGAGTGGCATAGAGGCATAAGGTGGCCTTTTAAATGCTTGTCATTATGTCCAATCAACTTATTAAACTTTCATCCTGGGTTTTTTTTTTCTTTTCTTTTTGGTTTCTGAACACAATGTCTGGCTAAATAGCTCAAATGAGACTCAAACTGTTGGCAATCCTCTTGCCTCAGCCTCCCAAGTGCTGGGAAGGCAAGCGTGTGCTGCCACCCCTGGCTAGAAATATTTTCTTCAAAAGTTAAACACAGGCATGGTGTTACACACCTATAATCTCATCACTCTGGAAGCCTGAGGCAGAAAGATCGCAAATTCAAACTCAACCTGGGTAACTTAGTGGCTTATTGAGGTCATGTCTCAAGATAAAAACAACAAAGAAAAGGGACGCAGTGCAGTGCAAAGGCCCTGGGTTCAGTTCCCTGTAAAAAAAAAAAAGCACCTACCATTTCCCCATTAATATGACTATGTGAGGGCTGGGAATTTAGTTCAGTGGTATAAGGGCTTGCCTGGCAAGGGAGAGGTCATGAGTTTGATCCCTGGTACATATATATATGACTATGTGAGTCAATGTTTATAGTAGCACATTTTAAAGTTATTTTTTTGTTACCGGGAATTGAACTCATGACCTCATGCTTACCAGGCAAGCACTTGAGCTGCTGAGCCAAATCCCTGGCCCCAAGCAGCACAGTCTGTAATAGCCAGATCTTGGAAACAACCTAAATACCCATCAACTGAGGAAGGAGTAAAAATGATGTGGTGTTTTATGCAGTGGAGGATTCTCAGCCATTAAGAATGAACTGGAGATCCTTCTAGTGAAATGGTGTACCTTGAGACCATACTCACAAGTCAAATAAATCAGACATGCACATGTGGACATCATAGTTTCATTAGTGTGAGACACAAAATATGTATGCATGCCTGCATTATATATATATATATATATATATATATATATATATATATATAAATAGTACCATTGTTGCTCCTGATTGACGTGCTTTGAAATTTTATTGTAGTTTTTTCGCTTCTTCTTGTTTTTCTTTCTTTTTATGTTTGAATAAAATGGATTTTTTTAAAAATACGACTCTGTGCACATTTTCTGCAGCCCAGAAGTTCCTTCACTCCCAACTTATTCTGAGTTTTTCTCGAGAGTCGGTGTGGCACTGTAGCCAGTCTTTCTGCTGTAAGAGGTGGCCCTCATGTGGCTCCCTGGGTTCACTCTGCGTGTGGAGTGACTTAGTGAGATCCTGTTCAAGATGAAAACTCAAGGGAGTGCAGTACCTGGGCTCACTCTCCAGTACTGAGGGTAAATAACAACAGCTCAAGGAGGAGCTTCTAGGACCCTGCAGCGCTCCCCAGCTGAGTGGGCGCCACACCCAGGGCGCCTGAGGTAGATTTGGGGAAGAATTGTGGCTGCCTTGCAGACACAGTCCTGTCACTCTTCCACAGGTCCCACTGGAGCAATGAGGACTATGGACCCCACACACGAACTCCTCCATCAGTGTCAAAGCCCAGTGGCCTGAGGCCCATCACAGGGCAGGTCTCAAGGGGCCACAGCCAGTCGAGGATCTTTCCTAGAACTCTGTGTGCCAAGGGCCAAGCCTGCATGCTTGGCACAAGCAGGAACTGCCAGAAAGCCCTGGGCAAAGTGAAGACACAGAGGAAGTTGCTGGGGGGGGGGGACTTGGATGCACAGGAGAATCGTGTGTTGGGCAAGTCCCACCCAGGTCAGAATGCCGGGTTTAGCCAGTCTTGGGGACAGACCCCAGGGCCATCACATCAGGCCACACCAGCCCTCTCTTTACTCTTGGTCTCTACGATGCCCTGGCTGGGCTAGAACTTGTCATCCTCCTGCCCAGCCTCCCAGAGTGCTGGGACTACAGATGTGTACCTCCGCTCCCAGCTCCCTGTTTCAGCCTGTGTCGAGGTTTGAGTTCTTTAGGAGGGTTGGGGACTGGGTGGAGTGGTAGGCATGCCCTCAGAATACTCTAAGCCCTAGAGTATGTACCATAGAGAAAATGTGCACAGAATCGTATTTTTTAAAGATCCATTCTATTCAAACATTAATCTCAAGCACCCCCACCAAATTTGGACTCCTAGCAGGGCATCATGGGGCACGCCTGTCTTCCAGCACTGGGAGGCTGAGGCAGGAGAATT